GGTTTAGGGGTTTAGGGGTTAGGGGACAAGGGGTTAGGGTTTAGGGGTTTCGGGGTTTAGGGTTATGGCCCCATAGGCCCTAAAGTAGTTCCTTTTTTGGGGTTCATATATAGAATCCTCTAAGGTAACCCCCAAAAGGAACTACTACTAGGCCTATGGGTAGACTTTAGGGTTTAGTGTTTCAGGGTTTAGGGGTTTAGGAGTTTAGGGCTTTAGGGTTTTATGTTTTAGGGTTTTTTAGGGTTTTAGGGTCTAGGGTTTAGGGTTTTAGGGTTTAGGGCTTGGGGTTTAGAGCTTAGGGAACTTGTGCGGGTTGTTGAAAAAGGGGTTCTATAAGGGTTAGCTTAAGGGTTCGATGATTCAGGGTTCTATCAGAGCTTAAGGGTGAGGGTTTCAGGGTCTGAGGTAGGGTTTATAGGGGTGAGGGTTTGGGACGGAAACCCTAAACCCTAAACCCTAAACCGTTTGGGGTTTAGGGTTGAGAGTTTGGGAGTCTACGAGCCTTCTACGATTTGTAGGGATCTTTACAATCTGTGAAAATAAGGGTCGGAGCAAAGTTAGTGTTTAGGGTTTAGGGTTTAGGGTTTAGGGTTCTTACTTCCCCAATAAGCCAGGGAAATAGAAGGTTGGACTTTCAGATTACTACTCTGCTAAACTATAAGAACCCAAAAAATGTTAAAGGTTAGATATTGGGCCATATTGCTATAGGGTGTTACACTGATGTTCTATGGATCTTGCAGGTTATTCATCAGGGATATCCTGAGATGCTAGAGTCTGCTTTTTGGGTTTCCTGAACCCCAAACCCTGAACCCCCTAAACCGTAAATCTCTAAATCCCTAAATCCTAACCTCTAAATCCCTAAACCCTAAATTCCTAAACCCTAAATCCCAAACCTTAAACGCTAAACCCTAAACCACCTACACCATAAACCCCTAAACCTGAAACCCATTCAGCTCCAGGGCTTTCGACTCTTTGGTTCAGTGGCTTTTAAATCCCCAAATCCCGAAATCCCTAAATCCCTAAACCTAATCCCTAAACCCTAAATCTCTGAATCCCTAAACCCTAATCCCTAAACCCTAAATCTCTAAACCCTGAATCCCTAAACCCTAAATCCCTGAATCCCTACACCCTAAACCCCTAAATCCCTAAATCCCTAAACCCTACATCCCTAAGCCCTGAACCCCTAAATCCCTAAATCCCGAAACCACTAAATCCCTAAATCCCTAAATCCCGAAATCCCTAAATCCCTAAACCTACATCCATAAACCCTAAATCCCTAAACCCCTAAATTCTTAAACCCTGATCCCTAAACCCTAAACCCTAAATCCCTAAATCCCTAAATCCCTAAGTCCCCAAACCTTTTTGGGAACCCAAGGGGCTGCCGGCCGCGGCCACGGTCACAGCGAGGAGTGGGCTGCTGCTCCTTGCTGATTCCGAGCTCACAATAGGAGTTTAGAGTGCAGGGTTCAGGGTTGAGGAGTTTAGGGATTAGAGTTTAGGGTCTAGGGTTGAGGGTTGAGTTTAGGGATTAGGGCTTCGATAAGGATGCAGTGTTTTAGTAGTGGCTTAAGGCGTAGTTTCCCTGACAAGAGGAGTTTAGGGATTAGGCCTTAGATCAGGATGTATTGGTTTAGCAGTGGTTTAAGCTTTGGGGTCGATGGTCAGTGCATAATTTGGATGTTTGGTCATGGGTTTTGGGTTTGGGTTTAGGGTTTAGGGTTTAGGGAATAGGGAATAGGGAATAGGGATTAGGGTGTGTGTTTGGGTTTACTTGTGCAAAAATGGTTCACGCTTCAGTCATAGTACGAGCAAAACACAAACACAACATGCATGCACGCGTACTTCCAGATGTGACTAGACGGTAAACACAACAAATATGATATATCTATCTATCCATCCGTCTATATGTGTGTGTATATGTACATAACATATATATATATATATTCTTTTTTTAGCTATTGACATATATTCTTGAAAGGCTGTAAGCTACTGAGTGCACCTCCTCGATGAACTCCGTGTAGGCCGCGCACTTTGGGAGGCCCGTGCGCGTCGGAGAGGGATCCGGAGTGCGCCAACCACGTTGCAGGGATGGCAATCCACGCTCCTAGACTGCCCTTAAGGGTTAAGGGTTTAGGGTCTTCGTGGCCCTCTAACTTCTGTGTTGGTATATCGTTTTCGGGACCATACCCTAAACCCTTAACCTATAAACCCTAAACCCTAAACCCACTATACTATAAAAAAACTCAGACTTCAGCAACGGCCCAGGCTCCATCAAGCCAAAGACGAGCTTCATGTTCGGCAAATTGGTGCTCTCCCGCTCGGATGGAGTCTGGCCTAGGGGTTTAGGGTTTAGGGGTTTAGGGTAGGGGCTCCCTTTTTGGTAGCCCTTTGAAGGAACCCAAGACTTCAAAAAAAGTATCCCCAAAAAGAAAAAGGGCTCTTCAAGAAACCTAAGACCACAAAAAGGAAAAGCAAAAACGGCCTGGGATCTCCTAAGAGAAGAAAGGCTCCCTTCTTGGCATCGGGTAGTCTTTTGAAGGAAACCGAGGACCACGGAAAGGGATCAACAAAGGGGCCCACTGGGCCCTAAACCCTAAACCCTAAACCCTAAACCCTAAACCATAAACCCCCACTGGGTAACCAAGTTGCAGCCCTCGTCAGTGGTGGAGTCGATGTCGACCATGGAGCCCATAGGAGTCTTGGCCATCAACCTGGATTTCTGTCAAGTTTAGGGTTAGGGGTTTAGGGGTTTAGGGTTTAGGGGTTTAGGGTTTAGGGTTTAGGGTTTAGGGGTTTAGGAACTGAGGCGTAATAAACGGTTTTGGATCTGTGTGATTCTAGAGGTGCTAGAAGATTAGTGAGGCTCAGGGTGTGATGGATTTCAACGAACTTCCTCAAAAATACCATTATGGTATTTTTGGGGTTTAGGGTTTAGGGTTTAGGGTTTAGGGTTTAAATACCATAACTTGGAAGCCTCTGGCACTTTATCTCTGGCACTTTATGTCCAGATCATAGAGTTACTCCGTTATAAGTTCCTTGCCATGAAAAACCCAGCAGCGCCGGCATGATGTGCATGCCCTCTGGGGTCTGCTCGCGGGAAAACGACATGGTTCTGAAGGCAATCGAAATCAAGTGCGCTATCGAGGTCTCGCTTTGCCTGATGCGAATTGAGCCTTGCCCTGCGGCAAAAGGTCGGGGTTCGACCCTAAACCCTAAACCCTAAACCCTAAACCCTAAACCCTAAACCGTAGCCCTGGCACGGAGGCATTGAGATTGTTCTGGCCCGGGAACGCAGGATTGAAGAACCCGATTTCTCTCGTCTTCCTATGACTGATGATTCATTTGAGGGATACTCCCTCCTTGATCACGGCCCTAAATCGAAAACCTTTGCAGGGCTCTGTGGGCTCTGAATACACGCACAGAGAGGCGAACTGATGTTCAACACGTGGGGATGCAGAAAATAGGCCGCGCTACTTAATTGTCCTAACATGAAGGATCCTTCTGCTTAATTAGTGTAGGGTGTATAGGGTCCATACCGCTACCCTTGTTTGACTCCCACATCCATAGGATAAATAACATGCTGTTGAAGGCGATGCCCCACAAAACCCAGCATAAGGGTCCAGAAAACGAAGGACCCAAATCGGTAGACCCCCCATGGACACAACAGCAAAGTACAACCTTTACTTCACAACCCTAAACCCTAAACCCTAAACCAAAACGCTAAACCCTAA